GGTCTGACACTGAGGGCCCATCCAGAGCACAGTGTGTTCTACTGAAAGAATGTCACGACTTCCCCAGTTTGAACTCACGTCTAGTCCTTGCCAAAATGGCATCTGGGAGTGAGGAAGAAGGTAGATCACATTAAAATAATGCTTTATAGTTTTCAAAGCTCTTTCACATTATGTGTTCTCATTTGGTCCAACACAGATCAGAAGGAAAGTGAGCTAGTAGTCTGGGTTTTGTTGATTTTCGAAGGATAACAAAATATGAATCAAGTGTTATATTATACAAGAACCTTTGTTTTGCTGCTATATTTCTTTGTAATAATCCAGATCATGTCTTAAGTATTTGATTCAGTTCCTGTGCTATCTAGGGTCATTGACAAACTGGAAGGAATTTGATCAGAATGAAAAGGAGACTTAAAAGGGCTTCATGATCATTGCTTTCTTTTTTTTTCTTTTTTTAATAAATTTATTTATTTTTACTTTTCAACATCTATTTCCACAAGATTTTGAATTCCAAATTTTCACCCTATCTCACTGCTTCCCCCACCCCAAGATGGCATGCATTCTGAATACCCCTTCCCCTAGTCTGCCTTCCCTTCTATCTCTCTCCCCCCTTCTCTTATCCCCTTTCCCCTTCCATTTTCCTGTATGTCAGGATAGATTTCTGTACCCCATTTCCTGTATTTATTTCCCAGTTGCATGTGAAAACATTTTTTTTAAACATGTGTTTTTAAAACTTTGGGTTCCAAATTTTCTCCCTTCCTCCCTCCCTACCCACCATTATTGAAAAGGCAAGCAACTCAATATAGGTTATACATGTACAGTTATGCAAAACACTTCCACAGTAGACATGCTGTGAAAAACTACCTCTATTTCCCTTAATCCTATCCTGCCCCCTCAATTTATTCTATTCTTTTGACCCTGTCCCTCCTCAGAAGTATTTGCTTCTGATTACCCCATTTCCCAATCTGCACTTCTCTCTATCATCCCCCTACTCTCTTGTCCCCTTCCCTTCCTATTTTCCTGTAGGGTAAGACAGATTTCCATACCCAGTTGATTGTGTATGTTATTCCCTCCTAAAGTCAAATCCTATGAGAATAAGATTCACTCATTCCTTTTCACCTTCCCCCGTTTCCCCTCCACTGTAAAAGCCTTTTCTTTTCTGATTTTTGTGAGATAATTTACCCCATTCTACCTCTCACTTTCTCCTTCTCCTAGTATAATCCTCTCTCACCCCTTAATTTTATTCTTCAGATATGACCCCTTCATCTTCAACTCACCCTGTGCCCTCTATCTATATACAAACATACAATTTTTTTTCCCTCCAACTACCCTGATACTGACTAAGGTCTCATGAGTTACAAATATCATCTATCCATGCAGGAATGTAAACAGTTCAACCTTAATAAGTCTCTTATGATTTCTCTTTACTGTTTATCTCTTCCACTTGAGTTTTGTATTGGAAAGTCAAATTTTCTATTCAGCTCAGGTCTTTTCATCAAGAATGCTTGTAAATCCTCTATTTCACTGAATGACCATTTTTTCCCCTGAAGGATTATAACTCAGTTTTGCTGGGTAGGTGATTCTTGGTTGTAATCCTATCTCTTTTGCCCTCCGGAATATTATATTCCATGTCCTGTGGTCCCTTAATGTAGAAGTTGCTAAATCTTGTGTTATCCTGATTGTGTTTCCACAATACTTGAATTGTTTCTTTCTGGCTGCTTGTAATATTTTCTCCTTGACCTGGAACTCTGGAATTTGGCTATAACATTCCTGGGAGTTTTCCTTTTGGGATCTCTTTCAGGAGGAGAGCAGTGGATTCTTTCAATTTCTATTTTGCCCTCTGGTTCTAAAATATCAGGGCGGTTTTCCTTAATAATTTCTTGAAAAATGATGTCTAGGATCTTTTTTTGATCATGGCTTTCAGATAGTCCAGTAATTTTTAAATTCTCTCTCCTGGATCTGTTTTCCAGGTCAGTTGTTTTTCCAATGAGATATTTCACATTGTTTTCTAATTTTTCATTCTTTTGGATTTGTTTTAAAGTGTCTTGATTTCTCACAAAGTCACTAGCTTCCAATTGCTCTAATTTTTAAGGAAGTATTTTCTCCAGTAATCTTTTGGAATTCCTTTGCCATTTGGCCAATTTTGCTTTTTAGGGCATTCTTCTCCTCATTGGCTTTTTGGACCTCTTTTGCCATTTGGGTTAGGCTATTTTTTAAGGTGTTATTTTCTTCAGTATTTTTTGGGTCTCCTTTAGCAAGCTGTTGACTTGTTTTTCATGATTTTCTTGCATCACTCTCATTTCTCTCCCCAGTTTTTCCTCTACTTCTCTTACTTGCTTCTCATAATCCCTTTTGAGCTCTTCCAAGGCCTGGGACTGATTCTTATTTTTCTTGGAGGTTTGGATATAGGAGCTTTGACTTTGTTGTCTTCTTCTGGTTGTATGTTTTGATCTTCTTTGTCACCGAAGTAAGATATATATGGTCTGACTCTTTTTGCACTGCTTACTCATGATCCTGACCAATTACTTGAGTTTTAAACTCTTTGTTAAGGTAAGAGTCTGCTTCCCCTGTGGAGAATGTACTGTCCCACGTTTCAGGGGTATGTACAACTGTTTTCAGAGATACTTCTAGGGACGTGTAAATTTTCAGTTCTTCCAAGGTGGTATGATAAGGGTCTAGGGGTTTCCTCTCCACCACCACAACAAGCTCTACCACATCAGCACTCCTTCTCGCCCCAGGACTGCCCCTCAGAACTGTGACCCAGATCTAAGCATGGGCAAAGCAAGAAATTCCTGCCTCAGCTCTGGCAAAGAGATCCCTGCAATCCCCCTGTTATCAGCCACTCGATTCCCCCTCAGTCTGTGGGCCAGAAGCTCAGGAGGCAGCTGTCAGAGCTGAGACCTAGATTCTCTCTCACCCAGTCACAGACTTTTCCCACTGACCTTCTAGGTTGTCTTTGGCATTTGTGGGTTGAGAAGTCTGGAAACTGCCACAACTGCCCGAGATTTAGCCCTCTGATGCCTGCTCCAGGTTCACTGCGGCCTGCGCGCCCATGCAGAACTGCGCTCCTCTCCCTGCCCGGCGCGATATGCCTTTTCCAATCAACTGTCCATGTTGTCTTGAGCTGGAAATTTGTTTCACTCTGTCTTTTTTGTGGGTTCTGCTGCTTCAGAATTTGTTTAGAGTCATTTTTTATCGGTATTTGGAGGGGTTTGGGGGAGACCTCAAACAAGTCACTGCTTTCACTCCACCATCTTGGCTCCGCCCTATGAAGAACCCATTGCTTTCAAATAGTTAAGTAGTTCTACTTATTCTATGAAGCTCCTGAGGGGAAAACTAGGACTACCTGAAACATTTCAGATAGGTCAGTTTTATATGAGAAAGAAAAAAAAATGTAGTTGTCAAATAATTGAATAAGTTTTCCTGTGAGGTGGTGAGTCTTCTGTCCTTGGAGGTATTTAAGGAGAGACTAGATTGTCACTGTCTATATTGCTTTGGAGAAGATTCATGCTTTTTTTAGAGGTTGAATATATTACACTTAAAGTTCTTCAGAGCACTAAAAATGTATGATTTCTATTTGTCTTTTGTGGTTTGTTTGTTTGTTTGTTTTTTTTTTACTTTTTATATGCCCTACCTCCACATGCCTACCATCCCCAAAGTCAAGTAATAAGTTAGCCCTTGAAATGGTAGTAGGTGGTTACTGCTTTTAAAATCTTGTACAAATCACAGATATGTGAGTTGTCTCCAGAAAAGCAAAAGGCACCAGACTGTCTGCTAATCACAGTACATTTTAAGTTATTCATGGTATTTTGACAGAGATCCTGAGGACAAGAGATATTCTACTGAGTCACAGTGTCAGCTATAATACAACTATTTTAACTTACTGGAAATGTTTCTTCTGTGAGTCACAGAAACAAAATGATCTGAGAATTTAAATGTTTTCTAACAGATAGATATTTATTTCACAGCTGTACTTTTTATGGAATACCATAGTCTGTGAAAATACTAGATTAAAATGACTTTGGAAAGCTTTAATCCTCAAAAGGAGTTTCCAAGAAAAATAGGACCCCTGTTTCAACACAATGATTTGTTTTCCTTCATCAAAAGTGTTTCCCCCCTCCCCCATCATACATCAAAATTAGCAAGACACAATAACAAATTGCAGTCAGATTATAGGTTTGATTCTCCCATTCCCATATTCTGAAAGCCTGCTTACTTTATGGGCTCTTTGAAGTGAATATTAGGCAGAGTAACAATTAAAGTGGAATCTTACCTGCAAAGGGGCTAAAGCAAAGACCCAGCAATATTTTTGAAGTGTGAATCTGCTATAACTGCCTAGGGAAGCATAAATGAGCCAGGAGTGTACGGATAGAATTACACTAAGTAGAAATTTCTTCATTTTACTCTGCTTCACACCAGTCGTACCTCTGAGGGCAAGCATTTGGTCAAAATTTGGGTGTTCCAGTCACCTGAAGAGCGAATTCCATGGAGAGGTGGGGGAGGGAAGGTTTCTATGATTTGGCTGACCTAGGTTTTTGACTGTCACACTCAGAGTTACTGTTGTGTGACATGCCAGTGCATGGGAAAATAGAAAATCCCAGACCACATTTTTGAAAAAAAAAATCAAGGAAAGGAAGAATTATAATTTAAAACTGAGGAAACAAGACTGAGTTTTCTACAAGAAAAAAAGGCTTGACAATTTAAGGTCTCCCACTCATTGCCAAAATGACAGAGGGCACCTCCTGAAAACCATCAGGCTGCTGTTACTACTAATGTTTTCTGATCATTGTGGGCTTCTCTGCCAAACCTATCATGTCTCATAGATCGCCTAACATAATCATTCATATAAACTAGTCCAAATATTCTCTGTTCAAATATTTATGGTGCCTGTACATGAAGAACTAGATAGTTTTCTCAAATCTGTGAACAGGACACTTTTTATGTCAAAATAAACCATCTGCTTGTACAACTGTTTCTAATTACTTCCCTGCCTAGACTGTAAACTTTAGGGTTTGGCACCAACATCCCGCCCAGAGGAGTACGGCTGCTGCCCAAATCCTTCCAGGCAGCTAATCAAAGGCACTTGCAGCACGGAGAAGAGCTTCAAGTCCGTTTTGGCCAGCCCTGGCATTTTCAAACCAAGGTGTCTGGCTGTCTATCTCTTCTTCTGTTTGTCTGTTTGCCTGCCTGGCTGCTGGAGCCTTCTCCTGTGCTATCCCTACCTTGCAGAAGGACAGACCTGCTCCTCACAACTTGGGATATCTCATCATGCACACACAGGGTCTCAGCAAATTCTTACTGCTGGCTTCATCCCTTTTCTTCACTGTATCATCAGCTGTTCCCCAAGGTTTCTCACCATCCCTGAGGTAAGTTGGGTTTGTTATCCTAAAAGACATTCATGGTTGACAGTTGCTTGATGCAGGTCCCAATTGTACTTCATATGTTATCCTAATTATATGAGTTCCTAAGTTGAAAGTAGAAAAAATTATTTTCAACTTATTCTCATTTCTCTCTCTGAATCCAGACTTTCATGTGTTTCATAACTCCTAGATTGCTTTTCTCTGTATACATACGCATATATAAATATGTACTTTCCCTACATACAATTATGTACAGGGAGAAATATGTATCTAGTAAAATCCTCATTATTACAGGACTCATTTTTAAACAGATTCAGATATATCATGTGGCAGGCTTAATAGGATAACTCCACGTTCTTGAAGTCTTTAATGAAATTTCCCCTAATGATAATAATATAAGGAGATTTCCACAGTGAATATATATTACATTGCAAAAGGCATCCATGAGATATATTTCAAAAATGCAAAATTATTGTTATTTTGTTTTAAGTACATTTATACTATCTTTGTCTTAACTAAATTTATTTTAAATATGCATTAAGAAAGTAAACATATCTAGCTATTAATATCTTTGTCATTTTAGATCTATTCTTATTCTGCACCACAAATAAAGGTTATCTATAATTTTTCATTGGTTTTCAAAGAGTAATTGAAAAGCTTTCAAGGGAATTAAAAAAAACAATCAAGTGTCACACACTGGATTAATTTATTCAAACTTAAACATGCGTGTATGATTCAAAGACAAAAAAAACTTCAGGGGCAAACACATTTCTCCACTTTCAGCTACTGTCCTGGCCTTCCTAGGCTATTCAAAGCTGCTAGGCAGATCTGGGCTACCTTAGCCCACAAAGAAACCAGGCAAACGCATGAGCTGCCAGGCCACTGGGCAGACCTTCTGAGAAACTATTGCGTCCTGAGGGATAGTGGATGTGGCCCTTGGCAATCTGATACTCTGCTCTCGGCAAACTCCAAGGAAAGTGATGGGCACTGTGGGGTGGCCTGAGCCAGCCCAAGGTAAATTAGGGTAACAGATGCAGCAAGAAAAATAATTAAAGTCTCTTCTGACTCTATACAGTGAGATCAGATTTTCAAGTTACGTGACTTTTCAAATATTTCCCTAAGTCCTCATTGCTGGTCATTACATTAAGTATATTTGGCTGTGTTGGAAAGCTAACAAGTGGTGTGGGAGTGGAGGCTGGAAGGCACGGGGAGACAGTGGAGAAAAGGGAGAGGAAACAAACATGCGAATAATTAATATTCTTTGCCCTAACAGAGAGGTGGTGTTTTTTTGTCCATGCAGGAGAGGGCCAGGTGCCACCTGTAGGTTGTCCCGGGCGGAGGCAGAACGGAGGTGCCGAGCACCGGGACAGCCACCCGGGAGCCAGCTGTGCAATGGCCGAGGCCGTTGTGATTGCGGAGTCTGCATTTGTCACGTAACCGAGCCCGGCATGTATCTGGGGCCTCTCTGCGAGTGCCATGAGTGGGTGTGTGAGACCTACGATGGGGAGACCTGTGCAGGTAAGGGACTGGAATAGGACAAGGGCAAAGAGAGGTGGTCAAGATGCAGAGTGCGCCTTCCCTTCTCATTACACGTGTTTAGAGTATCAGAAGAAAGACAGATGCGCCTGTGAACTTGTTTGACTCTTTCTTATACCTTTGAAAGTGCTTGATGAGTAATTGTTTTCTGAGACGTCTGTCTTTGTGGCCTAGGTGGGTCTGTGCGAAGGAGTGGCTCATTTAGTAGGCAGGAAACAGAGCTTTCCAGTTACTGATGAAGATGTTATTTTAACTAATCCCTTTAAATTGTTTATTTCAATGCCTTCCCTCCACTTTGGGCTCAAGCTTTGACAGACAAGTTTTTGCATCACTAGAAATTCACCCACTACACCAACCCATTAGGCGCAATTGTTTCTCTTTAAGGTCCTCATTTTGGACAAAATTCATCACCCTGTTGACGAACCTTTGATTTAATAGGATTTTTATTACCCTGAATAAGAATTCTAGTTCATGAAATACAGGCCATAGCATCAGAGTCCCAACTAAGGTGGGGCAATGGAAACTCTGCCCAAAGGATCCAAAAGTTAGAAGGTGATGAAAAAATGCCCTTTTATCAAATAGAAACTACTGAGATTACACCTAGTTTATTATTATTATTATTAGTTTTTGTAATTGGACCTGATCAACAGCTATTCCTCAGATTGTAATCTTAAAGTTTTCCCTATGCCATAGAGAGATTAATTTACTTGTGTAGCCACTACATGTCAAGGGTAGGGCATACATTAAAGTTTTCCTGACATAGGGATCAATTATCTACACACTAGACCAGACTGCTTCTCCTAGCCTCTACTTCTCGAGATTAGTTAAAATAAGAAAAAATCCAGATACTTCCTCACAGCAGGTGAAGTCTTCTCCAGCCATCACTCTCCATCTTCCCTTGAGGGGTCCTCTTCAGCAATTACCTTATAGACAATTGGGTGACCTGTCTTTCTTCTTCTCCTCTTCCTCCTCCTCCTTACAGAACAATGTTCTCGCTGTGTGTCCTCTAATGGTACTTTCCTTGCCACTTATGTCTGAAGTCTCTCTCAGAGTTTTCCCTTCCCTGATTAAATTTGTTTCCAAGACTTGATCTGAAAACAACTTCTTTGTTGCTTGCCCCAGGGAAAGGCTCCAGAAGCCAGAATTGCCTATTTTTGTTCTGCCTAGGATTATGTTTTACCTAAGATATTAGCGACAGCTTAATTCCATTTTCTTTAGATTTCTAATTTTTCTAATTTTCTAAAATTTTCCAAATTTTCTAATTTTCCCATGTCTTTAATTTCTGGGTTCCCTACTCATTCTTAATCCATAGTAGAACTTAGCACCATAAGTCTCCAATTGTAGAGGACATTAGTCCAAGCCCCTCAGAAGACAGATGAGGAAGCCAGGAGTATTAGTACTGAGTGATTTGTCCAAGGTTATACTCATAGTTCCATAGAGATAGAACTTTATATAGGGGCTGATCAGCAGTGGCAAAAGTAGTTATGTCAATGAGTGAGAGGAGCAAAGGGGCTATGGTCCAGTCTGTGTAGGGCCATGCTTCAATTCTTTAAAATATTATAAACTACAGTAGTTACAGTGTTGGGTTTTGAACTCAGGTCTTCTAACTCAAAGATAAATACTCATCTCACTCCACCATGTTATGTCCCAGATTAATATGAAGGTTTGTAATGCAAGTTAGAATTCACATAAATATAAACAGGAAGCTAAGCATTTGCTATATGAACAATATTGCTATTTTACCCTTTGAACTGCTTCTGTTTGAATCTTGAATTGTGGTCAGTGTTTTATAGACAGCTGAGGAATAGTGTGTGAGAATAAACTCATCTTAAACACTTTCTTTTTTTCTTTAAAGAGAAGGTTGAGGATTGAAAGGGAAAGGGGTCAGAACAATCCTTCCTTCTAAAGGACTGCCTCTAACCTCTTTCCTAGTTTTTCATAAACGTGTCATTTTTTGAGGCCAAGAGCCTCAATTAGGTCATTGTGAATGTTACAGGAATTCCATTAGTAAAAGGATAACACAAATGCATTCCAACAGTGGGTTTGGCAAGTTTGGTAGGAAAAAAAGAGCAACTTATTTAAGCAACAATATAGTTAAGATTATGAAGTCCAATATTAACACAAGAATATCAAGAGCAGTTTATAACAAAAAAAAAATGCTTGTGGTTGGCATCAAGGGCCTCCTGGTATTCTCACAGAGAAGGGACTTAATATACAGGCTGCTCAGCAGTGGAAAAAGTAATCATGTAAATAATTGGGAAGAGTACAGGTGCTCCTGGGCAGCCTGTTTCCTCCATGCAGAACCCAGGCTCAATCCTTTAAAATATGACGTGCCACGGTTTATTATTTTAACTTTCTAAGTCTCAGAAAGCAGAGTATTATTGAGGGTGGCCATTTGGAAGGGAAACTACATATCTCCTATTTCATTCCAAATCCAACTTCTGTGTGGTTTTTATTGCCTGTGGCATTTCCTCCTGCAATATCATGAGTTCTTAACACTTCTTTTTAGATTTGGTTTTGTTTTGCCAGAAAAGTGAGAGTTGAATCTGAGACTTCTTCAACTGAGCAGCCAGATGATTCAAAGCCATTAGGTAAAAATCTTCATTTTTAAAGAGTCTGAGCTGGCTTCTTTGTCTAAGTTGGGGAAGCTAAGGTTACAGCTGTGAATTATTAGTTTGTGGGTTTTTGTTGTTGTTTTTGTTTTGTAAGTAAAGTGGACATTTGTTTCTCATGTAATCTGTCAAGTTTTTTTTTTCCTTCACCAATAACAATTTGTGTCTCCACAGCTTAGTAAAAACTTAGAGATGAGAATGGCAATCCAATTGTTGGAAGCCTAATTTGGGTCAAGGTAGCTCCACAGTGCCACTCTATAAGTGGATGTCTAGAACAAGCACCCTAAAAATTTAGGCCAGTTAGGGTTTCGTCCAGTCCACTCAAGTGCCTGCTTAGCCTTTGGAATTAGTGAGACAGAGACAACCTCTACTCCAAAATTGGGAATTTAAAAAAAATTTAAACTTTTTATTAATTTTAAACTTAAATATAAAATGAGAAAATAATTTTCACATACATAGTAGAACATAAAGAGGGGATTAAAAATAAAATTCCATTCAGATGGTTTACTTTCTTTAAAAAAAACTATGATAAATACTACACATTGTTTTCAAAGCTAGCCAGCTTTTTTGTTCTTCCTTCTAAGTTTTCTTTTGTTCGCTGCTGTGCAATTTTTCCCCCTTTCTCCCACCCCACCCTACCCTAGAGAAAGCTACAATTAAACACAAATATATGCATATACATATATACCTACCCACATACCTACATATATATATATATACACATATATACATATATTTTATAAAACATATTGTACATGCTTCTGATTATGAATTATTTTTCTAGAAGTGGATAGCATCTTGCTTCATAAGTCCATATCTTTATGTTTTTCTAAATTCAATCAGCTCATCATTTCTCATAATGCAGTGGTATTCCATCACAATCATATACCACAACTTTGTTTAGCCATTCCCCACTTGAAGGGAATCTATTATTTTAGCCAATCTGATAGGTGTAAGATGATATCTCAAAGTTGTTATTAATTTGAATTTTTCTCCTCAATAATGATTTAGAACATTTTTTCATATAACTATAGTTATTTCTTCATTGAAAAACTACCTGTTCATATCTTTGACAATTTATTAATTGAGGAATGACTCAGATTCTTTTAAATTTGACTAAGTTCTTTATATTTGAGAAATGAGACCTTTATCTAAGAGACTGTCTATGTAAATCCCCACACCCCCAATTTTATGCTCCCTTTATATCATATATCCATTTTCACATTGTCTTGGTACATGGTTTAAGATATTGTTCTGTGCCCAACTTTTGCCAAACTGCTTTCCAGCTTTCCCAACAATTTTTTTTTTTTACCAATAATGAATTCTTATCTCCCAAATAAAAATCTTTGCATCTGTGCAATGTATGTCTATTCTATTCCATTGATCTACCTTCCCATGTCTTAATCAGTACCAGATAGTCTTGATATTTACTGCCTTGTAATATAGTTTGGGTTCTGGTACTGCTGAACTGCCTTACATTACATTTTTCCATTCATTTCTTTGAAATCTTAACCTTTTGTTTTTCCAAAGGAATGTTATTTTTTCTAACAGTAAAATGATTTTTTAGTAATTTAATTGGAATGACATTGAATAGATTAATTAGGTGAGATTGTCACTTTTATTATATTGGCTTTGCCTACTCATAAATAATATTTCTCCAATTATTTAAATCTGACTTTATTTGTATAAAGAGTCTTTTATAATTATGCTCATGTATTTCCTGGGTCTGTTTTGGCAGGTATAGTCTCAGGTAGTTTATACTGTCTACAGTTATTTTAAGTGGAGTATCTCTCCTTGCCGGGTTTTGTTGATGATATATAAAAATGCTGATAATTTTTGTGGCTTTATTTTATATCCTGCTACTTTGCTAAAATTATTAATTGTTTCAACTTATTTTAGTTGAATATGATTTTCTAAATATATCAACATATCACCTTCAAAAAGAGATAGTTTATTACCTCATTTCCCATTCTGATTTTTTCATTTCTTTCCTTTCTCTTATTGCTATTTCTAGCATATCTAAAATAATATTGAATAATATTGGTGACACATAGTGTAGTTTCCCCATTTATTACTTTTAATTAAATCTATTTTCAGCTTTAACTTTTTTTGAGATCATGATTGCTACTTCTTTTTTTTATATCAGCTGAAGCATAATAAATTCAATTCTGGATCTTTATTTTAACTCTGTGTGTATGTCTCATTTTTTGCCTATGTTTCTTGTATAAGATGTATTGTCAAATTCTGATCGTTAATCCATTCTGTTTTCTATTTCTGTTTTATGGGTAAATTCATCCCATTCACATTCAAAGTTATAATTACTAGTTATGTATTCCCCTCCATCCTATTTTTCCTCACTATCCTTCTTGC